GCGGACTTTGTATCAGATTCTCAGTGAACTGAAAGATTTCCGCGAGGTGTCACTCACAGACTCCGGCAACTCAGGCTCAGAACTCTGTGAAGGCAGAGACTGTGTGCCCAGGGACAGGGCCCCCCCCGGGAGCTAAGTCCAGACCCAGGCCCTGCCTCCTTATGAGAGTCTCCGATAGCTCTAGAGTCACCTCTCCTGAAAGCCTGGCGGGTAGGAGAGTCCGATCTCCTGGAAGGCCAGCCGTGGCTGCCAGTATCGTCTAAGACATCCTAATCCTGGATCTTGGACCAACAGTGTGGTCAGGACAGGTGCCACCGACCAGCCTGAAGGAAGGACACTCTCTCCCCATCTGCTGTGCTGGGCACAGTCTGTCTGCCCTGCCACCACCCTGAGCATTGTCAGTCCCTCCTGGCCTTGCGGGCTGACCCCCATGTACTGCATCGCCTGAGCTCCCTCGTAGGTGGGTGTCCAGTGGGCTCAGCCAATCAGAGGCATCCACGGGAGGCTGGAAGGCAGGACAGGAGAGGGGCTGGGGCATTACTCCTCAGCTCCCTCCAATGCCAACACTGGGGCTGCAGCCACACTCACCCGTACTCGCCATGGAGCTGCCCTTCCCCTGGCCTGCCCCCCACCCCCTCCCCACAGTAAGCAGTCTCTCCACTCTGGTCTTCTCCATCGGCTCATGTAACGGGGTTTCTGTTTCCTGCTGGAACCCTGATTCTCATGCCTAATGGAAAAAGGTTAAGACCAAACCTTTGCCCCACACCCCCTTCACTCTCCCCCCTCACTGCCAGGGTAAATAAAGGCAACAGAGGGGCGCCTGGGTGGCTCAGTGGGTTAAGCCTCTGCCTTCAGCTCAGGTCATGATCCCAGGGTCCTGGGATCGAGCCCCGCATGGGGCTCTCTGCTCAGCGGGGACCCTGCTTCCCCATCTCTCTCTCTGCCTGCCTCTCTGCCTACTTGTGATCTGTCTGTCAAATAAATAAATAAAATATAAAAAAAAAAAAATAAAGGCAACAGAGTTGACCACATAGCGCCCCCACCCCAGGACCTAGGACATGTGCTCTAGTTAGTTACCCCCTTTCCTTAGGGCCACCTTCCAGGGCCAGAACTGAATCTTGCACTCGCTCTCATCTGCCCACCGTGGGCTTGAATACGCATCGGGCCCGTGTGCCCCTCACACGGTCTGCCTGGTGGGAATGGCATTTGGGTGCCACTGGAAGAGGCAAGCCCCTCAGCTCGGCCCAGTCTCCACCACGTCCTAGTGCTCCCCACGAGGATGCTGCACACGTGCATGGTGTCTGCCTGGCCCTAGAGAACCCCGAGTCTGGTGTTCCTGAGTGAGGAACCTGGATGAGGACAACTGTAGTAGAGAACTTGCCGTTTAGCTATTCAGACGTGTTTTTTAAAACTGCTGGAAATGTGGATCCAAAGAATTTTACCTTTCCAACGAACGCATGCTCTTTATTTTTAAACAATGAACTTTGCTTGTTATCATGCCCGTTTTTTACTTTATGGAGTAACCTCCACTTCCTGCAAAAGCAAGATGTCTCCAGACACTGTGAAGATGGGAAGTGCACAGAGCTGCGGATCCCTCTCCGGCCCCCCTGCCCCTGCGAATATCACCTGCGTCTGAGACGCTTACAGTAGCTTTCAGCGGCAACAGTAACCTCACGGCAGGCCAGTACTTTAACCCGCACGTGGATATGCCCCAGCCCCTCCTCCTGAGACGGTAGGGACCACACGTGGCCTCCCTCACAGAGAGATGCCATTAGATCTGAAATGGAGAATCACATCCTGCTCAGGTTCTGGAAAACTTTCGGAGGCATTTGAGACCCAGCAGGGCCATTAGCTGCTACGAGAGCCCACGAACGCCCAGTACCAAAGCAAAAGGCCTTTGCAGAGTTCTCTTATCCTTGCACAAGTCATAGAAGCAAAGGCCTCAACGCTGATGTGCCTTCCAGGACTCTTTAATGAAATCTTTGTTAGTTTCATTAGAAAAGCACAAAACCCAAAGCTTCCCTGGCTGGAACTGCGTCGAGAAAGAAAATCTTTCCAAAAGCAGCAATGCTTGGATTAATCTGAAAGGATTCAGCGTTTGATCTGCGCCCTCTGTCCCACTCCTGTGCAAACAAACATGACCTTCTGCGCGTCCCTGTGTACAGAGCCCACGCATATGCACACGGGCACGTGTACAAGCATGCACACCCACGCCCAGCCCTCTGTGTCCACCATGGTACGCGGCACTCACACTCCATCCCCACGATGATCGGCGCGTGGCCGTGTGTGCGCACTGAGCTCGGACCTCAGACCTTTCTCAGAAAGAATCTGTTCCCTTTGTTCAGATGGGAGCACAGGGGCTACCTTTATATCGCCTGAGAGTAGAACGAACAAGAAACCATTTTCTGTCTTACTGACCTGCAGCCTGGGGCCTGTGGTTAAATCCGGAGTACTGGCTCAGCCGCGTGGACCACTAAGACTGACAGGTCCTCCCTCTCTTCCGTAGGAAGGAATCTGCACGGGATTGTACCGATTCCATACATCCTGTCACTCTCCCGTAGCCCGTTCCCCCTCAGCCTTCCCAAACCAGATGAACGTGGGGATTAGGGACCAGAATGCCTCCTTATGTGTGTATAAACACTCTTACACAGCAGACACATGCTCCTGCCTCTTTTTTTTCCGAGCCATAAAAATGATGTTTATATTATACTTCTTGGAATTGTAACTCTAACATGCCATCTTTTTTTAAAATGGCAGTACTGGATTATTGGCTTCTCCAGAAAACAGCCACCCTAAATTAACAAAATGCGTGAGATAGCAAATCAAACGCCAAAAAAAAAAAGAAAAATTAAAAACATAACCAACACCGTGGCGTTTCCACAATGTTCCAGCAGCACCCACCGACCCCGGGCTTCTCTGCTCCTGGTCTACCCACTCCATGCGTGAACCCAGCCTCAGAAGCCAGAGCCCCTGAGACGCTGACGGGGCTCCCACATGTAATCCCCGGCTCGTCTCTCCTATTACACTGTTTGCTTATTCCCCCCGGTAGTCCACTGAACCAGTCACCGAGAGGTTAATGAAAAAACAACTTTATTCACAGAGGCTGAGACTTTGGGATAACAAAATGTCCAGGACAGCCCTTCTGCCACATTGTAGGTTAATCACAGTGAGCCTGGGTCTCTACAGTGGGATCTCATCCAAGTTCTCAAAATCAAGGACACTGTGTAGCTCACCAAAACGTCCCCACCAGCCTGGGCAGACTATGCTCAGGGAAACGTATGGGTCAGTGGCAACTGCCTTTAAGAAGAAATTCTCAGAAAGTCAACTCTGTGCTTCCTAATCATTAGATCATTACGCATGTCTGAAATGTCCTGTCGAGGATATTCTGTGATATAGGCTCTCTTGCTGGAAAGTTTGTGTTCATCTTTATACAAGTCCTGGAAATTACTTCCAAAGTTATTTTTGAAGATCTGTTGCAGCCTACCTCCAGAACTCATGACTTACTGGGCCTTTCCCACTCAGATAAAACTAGAGTCACCTGGAGGTTCAGAAAAGTCCATTTCCCCCACAAGGCAACCCAAAGAGGGAGCTAACCAAGAGGTCAGATGCACTTCCCAAAAGTTCCAAGCTGAACTGGGTTGTAAAAATCTACATCTTCTTATCCAGATCTTTGTTGCAGGACACCTCCCTCCCGGGCCCCCAACCTTCTTGCTCCCCACCCCCCAGATTTCCAGACACCTCCATAAGGTGTTTATTAGCTGTTGGCTCTGGGCCCACCCCTGGGAAGGGGCTCGGAGGGAAGATCTGGGTGCTGGCTGGGAGGCCAACAGCCGGGAATGTCGGAAAGAATCCTCCCACCGAGCCTCCTATTTGAGGTCCAAAGACACCCCCCAGCAGATATCAGAAGTTTCCTTTTCTCAGCCCAGCATGACCCATCTTGGCCAGTATCTGCTTTTCGTGTTTGTTCCATCCAACTTTTTGGATTAAAGGTGGTCCTTTCTTACACGATTCTGGAAATTGTAGGAAAAGTCAAACCTAGGTCTTGGAAAAAAAACACTGAGATGGAAAATCTTCTATGTCCAAGACACCTTCCCTCCCCCTCACACACTTCCAGTGTCCTCTGCTATCTTTTGATCCCTTAAGAACAAAAACAACAAGATAGGACGCCTGCTAATGTCGGCAACATGTCCAGGAGATCATGGGTGCTGACTAGCATCCTGTCATAATGCAACAAAATTTCTTTATAGCGTGTACTTTCCTACTAGCAGTTGTTAATACAGACATTTTCACAGGGTAGTTGTACTATAGTCAAGCATCTAGCCAAAGAATATAGCATATTCCTTTTACTGTCTAGAAAGAAAAAAGAGAGAAATTCTCTATTTAAAATAAAACTGTGGTTTCTTAGGTTGCACCTGGACATTGGTTGTAAATCCTCACCAGGCCCTAGATCTCACAAAGAACCTGAAACACAGGGGTCACTGCCAGTGTCCCCACAACAAGACTTCAAGGACAAACCCAGCTGTGAACACCCACCACCCCATGGAATCAAAGCCAAGGCCTGAGCCGCAGCAATGGAGCTGGCCACGGTCAGACTGTAGCTCTGTCTGAAAGCACCCCACTGTCCCTTCCGTCCTGCTCCCTGGTTGTCTGGGCCCTTCTGCTCTGGACATGAAGGACCTGTCCTGGGTAGCAAAAGATCACAACCTCAGACTGACCTAAGATCAAGGAATTCTCCTGCTCTGGCAGTAGGGGGTCTGAGAAGCCCAAGTTCTAGCCAGGCACAGTCTTTTCAATCTCTGAAGGTGCTCTGGGTCCTGGGAAAGTCCGCCTCACCTCGGAGGAGGCAAGCCACGGTGCCCACCTGCGTGCAAAAGTTGATAACACTTCCCAGGATCCACACGTTGCAGAAGAAAAGATCATTTAAAAAAAATTATAAGTGGCTCCTTTCCCCAGCGATGGGACCCCTGGTGACTCACAAGCCCAGCAGAGGGTGGGGGAAGGACCCGCGCCACCGCCGGCCTTACTGGAAGGGAAGCGCGCTGTCGGGAAGCTGCAGAGGGAAATAGGACAGGAAAGGGATCCCGAGCTGGTAAAAGCCGCCCTGGACGTGGGGGTCAAGCATCAGGGAAGCGTTGAAAGGCGGACGGAGGCTTGAGGTGGGGGCCACGAGTGAGGCCCCCAAGCGGCTGCAGGGCCCCGGCTTGGCGCCCCCCAAGAGCTCGCCCCCTCCAGCCGGCTTCTGACCCCGCCGACCGGCCAGGATGCTGTCTATGCTGAAGCTCTTGGACTTGTCGGAGCTCTTCGGAGAGCCGTGGGAAGCAGGGCGTGGGGGGGACGCCGGGCCATCCGCCGTTCGAGGTGGCTGGCCTAAGGCCAAGGCCGCTGCACCCTGGACAGTGTCGCTCCCGTCCTCCTCCGGGGACGCGGGCCCAGGCCGGTGGAGGGGCGCGGGCGGAGAGGAGCCGTGGCGCAGGGGCGAGGGGCGCGCGGGCTCTCCCTCCTGGCGGGGGGTCGCGGGGCCGCGGCGCTCTGACCCGCTTCCCGCCTGGGGCTGCGCCTCGGAGCCGCGCTCCTGCGTCTCGGCGCGGGCGCGCTTGGCCTCCGGGGCCCCCGGGCCTGGCTTGGGCTTCCTCTTCCGGCGCCGGTAGTTGCCGTTCTCGAACATGTCCAGGCAGCGAGGGTCCAGCGTCCAGTAGCTGCCCTTGCCTGGCCGCCCCTTCTCGCGGGGCACCTTGACGAAGCAGTCGTTGAGCGAGAGGTTGTGGCGGATGCTGTTTTGCCAGCCCTGCCGGTTGTCGTGGTAGAAGGGGAAGCGGTCCATGATGAACTGGTAGATGCCGTTCAGCGTGACCCTCTGCTCCGGCGCGTCCTGGATCGCCATGGCTATGAGCGCGATGTAGCTGTAGGGCGGCTTCTGGGGCGGCTCCGCCCGGCCCGAGGCGGCCAGAGCGGCCGCGGGGGCGAAGGCCAGAGGCAGCCCGGGGCTCTCGGGGCCGTACAGATAGAGCATGGGTGAGGCGGCCAGAGCGGGCAGCCGGGGACCGAAGAGGTGGCTCATGGCGAGCCCGAGCCGGCGCTGCGCTCCCCGCGACGCAGGCGACCCAGCGGCTTAGGGACGGCGCCCCGCGCCGCGCGGGCCCTCCCGGGGAACCCGCGGTGCGTCTGCCTCCTGCTCCGCCGCTCTCCCCGACCGCTCCGTGCTCTGTCCCTTCATGGCTTTAAAAATGTTAAATAATTGTTGTAAGTTTGCTATTATATGTTGACTTAGCGCTGGAAAATAAATTGTCTATGATAAACAGTCGTTGTGTGCTCGGCCCACCCACATTAATTAAAATTTCATTGCTGAAAAACTCCAAGCTTTTCCCTCCACGTGTCTTTTTGATACCAACCAATCGGTTTCGGGGCTCTTCCTTCATTTGTTTATAGAATTAGTCTGTTGATAAGTCCGCCCACCCAAGTTGAATCAAGCTGTGTTTATTTGGAAAAATTTCCGGGCACCCAATATATAAACGCACTGATCTGATGTTTGAAATATCACGTCCACCCCTTGACGCTGTAAGCACACACAGTCAGTGAGGCAGGATGTGGACCTCGGCGGCTGGGAGCAGGGTCTGCGGGGCCAGGAAGGAGAGGTGGGGATGGGCGGGGGACGCAGGGGTGAGTTTTGCCATTGGCCTGGGGCAGCCCAGTTATCCCGAGCCTCCCACAAAAGGTCTTTTCTTCTCTCAGGCTTCATAGATGCGGGGATGTCATGGTCTCATAAAATGCCTCCCTGGGGGTCTTTGGAAACTTTTAGATATGGGGGGGGGGCGTGGCGCGTCTATCTAAGAGGTCTGGGAGCCTGGGAGTCTCCGGAGAAGAGGATGCAGGTTTGGAGAAACCATCAGGATGCCCTGCAGGAGCTGGAGGCATTGGGTGGTGGGGGCTGGTATTCCAGAGGGGGCCAGCCTCTACCTCCAGGGCTCCCTGGGGACCCAGAAGAGACCTCCAGGAGCCCAGCTTCCTCTGAAGCCAAGGCCCAGGGTGCTGGGGAGGGAGGTCGAGAGGGGCAGGGGTACCTGGTTCCCGGCTTGGTTGAGGGTGGTTCCAAAATAGACCCATTTGGAGAGGTCAGGGGGGAGAAGATACAGTCTTTCTGATGGGACTGAGGTTGCAAGCAAGGAACACCATAAAAGGGGAATTTGGCAGCTGTGGCGGGAGAGCTGGAATTTGTGAATGCGGGTTTCTTGCTTTATATTCTGCGCTTTCCTGTTTATAACAAGAAGGGGGGTTATAACAACTTTACAAGTGCACGCAGCTGGCCCGTGATTACATTAAGCATTTGGGAAGCCCGCTTGCTCTCCACCCGCCCCCCCACCCACTCACCCTGGGGTGTAAGCACCCCCACCCCTGTCTCATTTTACATTCAGCCAAGTTAGATTTTGAATCAAAAACCCTGAAGGATGCCGATTCAGAAGGCGCGGCGTTCCCGTTCCTCCACGGGGTTGCTGGGGTGGGGGTGGGGGTGGGGGGCATCAGTGCGCTGGTTCCTGTTTATGATCTCTGCTGAAGATTTTTTAAAAGAAAAAGAAAACCACTTGGGATAACTGAATTAGCGTTTCATTGAGTAAACCCTGTGGGGATGCCAGAGAAGAGAGAGGGAGGGGTGAGAGCCGCAGGTGGGCGTAGGAATGGACCACGGGTGGCCCTGCTCTGCGGGGAAGGGAGCGGGAGGCACTACGGGGCAAGGGGCAGGCATGTCAGCCGCCGCCTGTGTCACAGAGAGGCGACTTCTGCTTGCGGAAGGCCAGGTCTCCCCTGGACAAGGGAAGCGGAAGAATCCCACTCCACAATGGGGTCTCCATAAAGTAACTCGGCTGTTTGGGGGTTCCAGATAGCAGGGAAGTGGTAAGTTTGACACACGCAAAAAGAAGTCAAAATCAGAGTCGAAAAACCGGTTTGGGAGCAGGCGAAGTTTGAGGGAGCTCCAGGCTAGGCGCTGGGACACCTCCGGGCCTCCCTCCGGGACGCTGCGCTTCTAACTTAGGCCAACCTGGCTCCGGCCTAGGTGTGGAGGGCTGCCCTCTAGGCAGGAGGGGGCGGGGCGCTGTCCTCTCTGGATCTCACCCGGGACCCCCTTCAACCCTGGGGGGGGAAACACCTCAGGGCCCGAGCGTCTGCAACCCGCGGCTCCATCGTCCCCGGAGTCCCCCAACCTCTCCAGACCAGCGCGTCCCCCACCCCCGCCAGCAAGCTCAAGTTTGGGTCTAGCTTATGTCCAGCCTCAGCTCTCGCTCCAACAGACCCAGAGGAGGAGACAAATGGGGGTCACTACGCACCAACCCCTCCGCACCCGGAGCCCTGCTGGGCGCTTGCCCCGCACCCGACGTCCACACGCACATCCCTGCCTCTCGCGAAAGGCGCGCGGCCTGAAGCGCTACTTCTAAACTCCAAGGCAAACCCGAGCTTGAATCCGTGCAATCCTGAGCACCGCCCAGTCTGGGCGTGGTCGGGACGCAGGCCGGGACCGCGCGGCTGCTGGGCGGGGCACTGATAGTCAAGCGAGAAAGAAGGAAAAAAAACCACTTCGGGTGGCGATCTGGAGAGGCGCGTCCAGCCCAACGCGTTTGCAGATTTGCGGCGTCTCCGGGAGGTTCCTCCCAGCAGGAAAGTGCGTGGCGCCCTAACCCGGCTCCCCCGCGGGGTCGAAGCCTGGGGTCCCAGGCCGGGAGTTAGTAACTTGAGCCTAGGAGGAGCCCGCGGTGGGAAGGAGCCCCGCGCCGGGGCATGTTTCCGGGGAGCGCATGGCACAAGCCTCTGGCGACCGAGTGCGGATGCGCCCTCGTGCGGAAGCTCTGTGTGTTAAGGCCCTGTCTGAGGCCAGCTGGGGTGCAGAAGAGCCTGGGAGACGGCGAGGCTGCCTGGGTATCCCAGAGAGCCAGATGGGGACACTGAAAGTTCTCCCTAGGCTCGGAGTCTTCAGGTCCCCCCAAACGCGTTCATCTCTGAAGTCAGTGCCACTGCATCTCCCAGCCTGCAGCAAAGCCCTGAGATTTCCGGCCTGCCCCCATGCTTCCGGAAGGACATTGGGAGTTCCCACTCTGGGGTCTGTGTGGGATGAGGGCAGGGGGTACAGCTCGCAGCCCCTAGGGAGAAAGCCTGCTCCTTGGGCACCGGGCAGAGGCCAGGCACCAGGCAGGACCAAAGGGGCCTCAGAAAAAAAGGCTGAGGGGAGGGGAGAAACAGGAGGTTTTCCTACCACCCTCGCCCCAAGGCATCTCCCCTTCCTCTGCTCCTCAAGTCAACTGAAAAGCAGATACTCAAGTGAAGGGTGATCTGTGTCATCTCCCAAATATTGGCTCACTCATCTCCGAGCAAAGACAGTCGACAAGGTGTATATACACACGAATGAACGATCGCCCATGCTTGCAGTAGGTGTGAGGAGAGGGTGGGAAGATACAGGACCTCAGCCAGGTCACCTTACTGACACCCTAAAGTGACGCTGGAGATGGTGATGACAAGGACTGTAGGAATGACTAAGATGTCTTGATCGCTACTATGTGCTGGCGCCCTCCTAAAACCTCTTTTGGATTAAGTCACTCCTCCTCTCGGCTCTAAGAAGCAGGAGCCTTCGTCGTTCCCATTCTGCAGACCAGGACACCAAGGCCAGGAAGTTAACCCGAGGAAAGGTTGCAAAGACAAAAGAAGGATCCCATGATAATAGGATTACTGTGTGTGCGCGCCAAGGGCCCTCACAGCATGGATGAGAGACCGGGGTGATGGATTCGCCCATTTTACAGATGAGATTTGGAACGGGCAGAGCAAATACCCCAGACAGTGGAGGCCGTAAGGAGCCGAACGGGGTGTTGGAACCCACAGGGTTTCCTGCGAAGGTGGATTCTCTGAGGTCTGACGTCCTCAGGTGCCGGCAGAGGCTCCGAGAAGTCTTTCTGGAGCACGGTCTCCTGCTGCTTCTCTTGGGCGAAGTGAGCCACGGATGTGACACTCAGCCAGTCTGCCGAAGCCCAGAGAGCAGGGCAGGATTTTCCAAATTACTGATTTCCTTAGAGCTCGTCTTGTTCCCAGCAGTGATTTAAAGGGTCTAAAACAGGGGCGGTTGGGCATAGCGGGCAGCAGCCTGACACACACTCACTGGGGAACAAAGAATCAGGGCTCTCCCGGTGTCGGGGTAAATCCCGACAGCTTGCGGGGAGTCCTCCCTGCGGCCTGGGCACTACCCAAGCACTGTCCTGACGTGTGTTGGGTTCACACATCCTCAGCGATAAGCCTATTTGATGATCCTACCACTTCTCAGTTGAGAAATGGGCCCAGAGAGCTTGAGGGAGCACGGCCGAGGTCCTGCGAACCCCTGGTCGGCCTGGGAGGAGGCCCTGGGCTGGCGCGTGAGGACTCCGTGCGGAAGGGGCGGCCTGTAAAGACAACACGTGGGCAGAGAGGGAGCCCTGTGGGGGGCGTTGAGAAAGGTAAGACCCAGGGCCCAGGGCCACCGAGCCAGAGGTCAGACAGGCCTCTCCGGCCTCCGTGACCTCCAGCCTGGGTGGGCATACGGACTGCACGCAAAGCTGTCCCCCAGGCTGGGGCAGCCCTCCCCATACTCCCCAACCCCATCTCCCTAAAGGGACCCGTGTGGCCAGGGAGCTAGTCCATCTGCAAGCCCACCCCCGGCCCTTCACGCCGGCTTTGCACACGCACATACACGCGCACACAGCCTGCCGCTGGCAGAGCCACCAGAGCCACACACTCGAGAACGGTACTCTACACGGGCCGCATCCTCCCGTGTGTGCCGTGAAGCAGGAAAGACGCCATAGCCCGGAGCGGGCTGGTGCAAATCAAGGCCGTGGCGTCCGGTCGGGCCAAGTGGCCGTCCTCACTGCAGACTCCCTGAAACCGCTCGCCCCCTTCCCTTCGTGCCTGTGTCAGAAAGCAAACATGTCAAACGCCTTGGCGAGCCGAGGCCATGCAAAAGGGAGGCGGGCAGGGAATGCTTCTCAGGGTTTGGGAAAGCATTTCGAGTATGTGGTGCCAAAAGGCCCTTTCTGCCGGCACCGGCCCTGTGGGTCCTGCTCACCTAGAGTCCAGCCCCCCAGCCACCCCTGGCCTGGCTGCACTGAAGGCCTAGAACCTCGGGGTCTCTCTCTGTGTCCACCACACCCTGAGGGGCAGCAGTGTCCCCTCGGGGACAACGCAGGCACCCATGCCCTGAGGCACGAGGCCCAGGTTCCGAGACCCCAGCACATTCTCAAGAAACTTGGTTCTGCCCATTAAATAATGGGTCTCCACTTGGTTGGCTGTCTCCGCCCACCTCGG